TACTCTCACTCTACAAGTGTTCTGAGGCATGACTGAAGACTGAGCTGGGGAGTGGAGATCTGTGGGCATCGGCGAGGCGCTCGCCGGAGTTTTCAGGTCTCGCTGAAGATCTCAGTGATTTCTGATTTTTTTCGATACCTTACATTTTCTTGTTTAAATCTTGCTTTAGGTTTGAAGTTAAACTAATTCCTTTTTATTAGTCTTTATCAAGCTAATAATAGGGTGAGTCGTCTTGGAATCTAAGAGTGAACATCATAAATTCAAAGTTCATCTGAGAGTTATTCATCTTTTAGCTCTTGGTTGGAATCATTTGTTAAAAGTTAGTTTTATTTGTGAAAGTTTGCAATGATCCTAAAGGACCTCTAGCTTTGCAAATCCAGCATTGTTGGTGCTTATCATTCTTGACGAACCTCTACTTTCAAATCGAAACTACTAACTGAACCTCAGCTTAGGAACCAAAACTCGACAAGCAGGATCAAACGAAGATGACTAAAAAAATTTACTTACTTCAGCTTATGTCAACAAAGTAGGTGGATTTATTGTTAGAATGCTTTCCATCTTGATTGAATGACTTAAGTATGAAGGACACTTATCCAATGGCCAATGGCACATCGATACAATTGATCTATCGCCAAACTTCAGGTTTCCAATGAGCTTCTCATCAAGCTTCTTGAACTTTGTTCGATCTTCGGTCATGTGTGCTTGCTCTGTTGTCTAGGTACCACATGTTGGTTTTCCCTCGGTCTTCTCCTTTTGTGAGAAGGTTCGCCATAATCTTCTCTTCATTGAGCATCAATACGTTGGGCATCTTCTCGCCCAACATCAGTATAGAATCTTGATCATGTGTGAATGTGAGGTTTGCCTCCTCATACTCTTGTCTGTTTAAGGGTTGACATTGTCATGGATTTGTGAGGTATTGTTACTGTAATGACCCGAAATTTTCTACTTAATTTAAGGTCGCTACTGTATACATACCATAAACATTGAATGCGGAAGACTTCATTTAAATTCCATAAAACATAACCTTTAACTTAAAACACAGCCATGGACTTACGTGTTTCGAAAACATCTTTAAAATGACACAACAAAAGACTCGAAATAAAATAAATAAGCGTTTAAGTTTAAAACATCCTATTCTATCCTAAGTCTAAGATAATAAATGTCACTATCCTATGCATGTTTCATGATCTTGAGTTGCGATGTCGTCGTCAGCCGTACAGGAATGTCTTGCCTTAACCTGAAAAATGTAGTAGCACATGGCTTGAGTATTTAAAGAAATACTCAGTAAGTGACCCCACTATTGGGGTTAAATGCAACAATCACATGCAATGAAATGATGGGACCTATCTTTCATTTCGTTTCGTTTCGTTTCGTTTCGTTTTCCCTACGGTGTAATCCTAACAGGTAATCGTGGACGTGTACCATATACTCTACACGCAGCCCATACGTGCGAGTATGGGCTCACGAGCTAGTTCGCACACCGCTGGGCCACTGTCCCTAGCCGGTGGGCATGCTCTGGGGGCCCACCGGGACCCGATAAAACTAAAACCGTCACGGCAGCGCTATGCAGGGCATAACGATCGTTGTCTTGCCATTTGGATGTACGCATCCGTACCCTCGTGATGGGATAGGGGTATCCCCCCAAATGCATGATC